GGTTCAGCACTTCACCTGCACAAACAGGAGCAGTTTCCTATTGCAGATCTCCAGGCGCTTCCGTGAGACTTCTGATTTCCGTAACTGGCCGTCAGCCAGGGACAGCTGCCTTTTCAGTTCCAGGATGTCCTCCTGAGATGGGCCAGAGGAAAAGAGAAAGGTGATAATGGTGTTCCAGCCTTGGCTTTTGGAAGCACCAATTTATGACATTTGCTACAAATAAAAAATCATGGTCCTTTTGGAACAGACGGTGAAAATTATACAGTTTATAACAGACCCAGAGACTATGCTAGCCATGTGGCCAGCACATACAAATGATGTATGTGCTACTTTTGCTTTCTCCTTTATAAATAGAAGAAGGGGAAGCTGCAGAAGAAGGGTTAGGAGGGCTGCGAGTTTTTTCCCAGGCTGAGGGGATGCATTACCTCTATTTCAGAGACGTGTTTTGCTTTTTTCCCCGCCAACTGCATCTTCAGTTCTGCAATTTCAGCTTCCAGCAAGTGGATCACTTCCTCGTAGTCCTGCTCCGCGCTGTGAGCCTGTCTCTGCACGACCTCTGCCATCTGCAGCTTGCTGTGCAGTGTCCGGTTCTCGGAGAGGAAGCCCAGGGCTTTCTGGAAGTAGCGAGAAGTTCTGGTCAATGCACCACATCCCCCTCAGCCACCAAACACCAAAACTGCCCCAAGACCTCCAGCAGTTATAGAAACATAGACTGGTTGGAAGAGACTTTAAAGATCATCTCTTCACTAACCTGATTCAGTCTCTGAAGCTCATCTTCCATTGACTTCTTGCTGTTCTCTACCTCTTTCAGGAGAGACTAGGGAAAATATTTTCACTGGATTAGAAGCAACAAGTGATAGGACATTCTTTAGAAGGTGCCCTAGTCTTGTAGCCCCTACCCACTACAATGATGTTTTACAAAGGCTGTTGGTGCACTCTCCCCCACCACAGAGTTTTTTGGGCTTTGACCCACATGCTAGCAGAAATCCACCTGGACACCACCATAGTGCTAACAGCCATGCTGGCAATCAGCAGCCAGGTCAGGATGGGTGGACAGGCAGTGCTTCTGTTATTCATGGACTTGAATTATTTGTGATACACTTCTTTGTCTTTTTAAATGTATTCACTCACTGCTAGAAAGGGACTGCATGCTTTCAGTACAAGTAAGTTTTCATTTGAGGTTGAGAACAAGAAAGAGGCAATTAAGGAGAGCCAAGGGTGAGCAACTCCTTTCTAATGAGGAACACGCAGACTGCAAGCTGCTGACTTCTTAAGAGGGACAGGATACACCATTGCCCTCGTGTATGACTACAGCGAGCTACAGCAGAAGGCATCAGCCAAGAAATCTGCTCAGAGAGTCTCCACCTTTAGTCTTCGGACTTCTTGCCGTAGATCCATCATCTCCAGTTGCAGCTGCTCCAGCTCCTCATTGCCATTACAGCTGAGAGAGTCGAAGGTCTGCAAGGCAGAGGGACAGACAGCATCACACACCACTTATACTTGACCAAAATCATGGGGCTATATGGCAGACATACTGTTTTCTATACCCAGAAAAATGATTAATCAAAACTACTTTGAAAACAAGTCAGCATTTTTATGCAACAGATCAAAAGGTGCATTAAATAATTCAACTGCAGGGTTGTTTTTTTTCATCCCACAGGATTTCACACTGATCAGGGAATTGTCATTTTGTGAACCAGGTGAAATTAGTTGGAACTGATTAATTATGGATAATTTTCCTTCTGCATCACTGCCAGGCTACTTCCTTCATATCATCCTATTCCATAGATAATGTTATTTCCTTACCGAAAATTAGAAGTTTGAGATCTTTTGTAAAATTTCCTGTAATCTAAACGATTAATGCCTTGTCTTTAGAACAATGATAATATGGTAGTTTAGCTTTTCCCATCTCAGAATGTCATGGAATTCATGAAGAAGATTCACAGATTCAATGTAGGAGAGCGTTGGACTGACTGACCTGAGAGTGAAAAGCCGATGTATCCAGCAAACTGGCCACTTCGTGCTGCGTGAAGAGCATGGAGCTGGAATCCAGGCCAGCCTCATCCAGCTCCTCCTGCATCAGATCCCTGAGTGCTTGGAGAAGATCTGCAAGAAAGAATCAGCTTTTACCAGGCTAAAAGAAGAAAGAGCTGTGTGTTAGAAATGAGAGAAAATGCCACTGATTTTGGGGACATTCACTGACTGCTAAGCAGAGCAGGTTTAGAGATGCCGAAGTCTTCTCTAACACTCACAAGATCTTTGGCAACTCCATCAAGCTTAAGTAAGTTGTTGACAATCTTTACCAGACTCTTGTTTCTTATTGAATTGAAAAAAATTAAACTTTTAAAAACAAAAAAAACCCCAGATATTTTCACAGCGGAGTTTTCACAATTGTGGTTCTCAGACTTCTAAAATTTTAAGCCAAAATGCCATTTCTCCGTCAAAAGCCTGCTGGCAATTCTCATGCTGCCGATTTAAACAAAAATCAACTCAATGGCTTCAGCACTTAGAAAAGGTGTCAAACTGGCAAGGCTGAAAATCTGGATTAATTTTGCTTTCAGACGTGGAGGAAAGCACAGTGTGAGGGGTTGCATGGGACAGATGGGAGCCGACACAACTCAGGGGTGGCAGCACCAGGATCTCAGCCCCTCCAGTCCTCAGCCACTGGGCTGCAACAGGAGCTGGAGGCTTTTTGCCAGAGCAGCATCTTTACTGCCAGCATGTTTGCCAAATACCCTTAATTGTCCTTATTTCAATTGCCACAAACTACGAAGCCAGTGACTCTTAAGAGAAGTGCATGGTTCTGTATCCCATCACTCGCTTTGCACAAAAACAGCCATCCCAGAGGTGCTGTGCTTTGCAAGCCTATTCTGTCTGGTGGGGACATTGTTGGTGACTTTGAATTTTTGCAAAAAATCATTCTGGGGACCAGACACTGTTAGCCCAGTATGCTATGGCAGGTCACAGAAAGCAGAGGTGGCTTTTAATTTCTGCATGTCCTCTGGCCAGCTCTTGCTAGGAAAGCTGGGGTTTTAAGAAAAATGAGCCCTTGCACTGAGTTTCTTTTACTCTGATTTTACATATGGTTCTATCAAATGCCTTCTTTTGTATTTGTGAATTTTCTTAACCATTTTAAGGCTATGTCAATGACCAGGGAGGTGTCTTACCTGCCACCTTTCAGCAGATGCCTCTCTCCTTTCTCAGCTCCAAGCAAAGCTACACAAAAATGAAAAAGCCCGCCCTGTGCAGAGCTGCCCACTCACCTCCATATGCCACCGTCCCCTGTGAGTCTGTGGTCAAGCTTTGCCGTAACTGCCTCTTCTTCTCCTCGGTCACATCCAGACCAAGATACTGCAGAACCTTGAGCAGAAACAATGAGCCTTTAAAAAGAAAAATACTGGAAAAGCAACTCTTTGAAGTAGGTGCTGGGAAAACACTTGGTGCTGGGTTTTATCCTGCAAGTGACTCTCCAGGCAGCACCTCCCACAGGAGCAGGCTTGGGCCGGATTTCCAGTCTCTCCTTTCTTACATGTGTACAGAAATGTCTGCTCCTGAAGACAGGGACATGTTCACATCCCTCTGAGAACATTTTATACAGACTGCAAGCAGATTTGCAGCTATGACAAACTGTCAGGACCTTTATCAAAAGCTGGTGGAGCTGTAGCAAGACTTAGCTGCCGAGAGCTCAGCCTCTCTTCTCTGTCTCTTATTGCCCAGGAATTGTGTTTGGGACCAAGAAGATAAAAGCTATTCACAGAGTCTTTCCCGTGGCAACAGGAGACATTCAAACATTTTGCTTCTCCACTGCACCTTTTGCTCTCTCATTACACCTGATGCACTGTCTTCTACTGACATTTATCAGTTCAACCCCAGGGCATGACACAGAAGCAGATAAACCTCTGCAAACCCCACTTCACTGCTGGCAGCAGCAAGTAAAAGCTTTTAAAAGACAAAGCCAGCCTCAGCAGACTTTGGGAAAGAGCCAGAGTTTAATGTTCGCCTGTCCCAGGCTGCACTCACGGCTCCTGCTCACGCATGTACAGCACCTCTGACATGGACCTCTGGAAAGGGGCTGCAGATGAATCCTTGCTCATGTTTCCACCACCAGCAAGTCCGTGGGACCCACCTGCTCTCATGTGCCTCCTGCAAGGCTCATTTGAGTCCCACCCTCCTGCTCCTCTGCCCACCATCCCTGTGCAAGGCGTCACTGAAGGCTCCCAGGTTTTGGGATGCTGATGTTGTCACCTGGCGTGGGCGACCCCAAAAGCATCTCAGGTTGTGCCGGTCGGTGCGTGTGTCCGGAGCCTGGAGCTGCTGCAGCCACCCGCTCATAACATCGGCTTTTAAAAGGAGAAGCCAAGCATCCCCACTCCTTCTTCCAAAGAGGAGCTGCTTTTATACCCATGACGAGCAGAGGGCGCTGCGAAAAAACCCACAAGCCTAAATCTCGCTTGAGGAGAATTATGCTAGTTTAGAAGAGAAGTTCCTGTGCTGCCCTTCCGGAAAGCGAGAGCAGCCAAGGCCAGTGCTGCGTCTGCCGTCGGGTGGCAGCAGGTGCTCGCTGCATCGGGTTCTCCTTGGACTCCCCTAGCCTTGCAGAAGAGCCTGCGTTCCCATGCTCCCCACCAAAATCAAGCAGTAGCCAGAGGGGGACGTGCACCCCAAAACCAGACCAGGGGCACAGCCCCCCAAAGGCACTCTACCCTTCAACAGGGTTTCAGTGAGCAAATAGGCAGCTTAATTCCCTGCCCTTTGATGGTGGCTGTGGAATATATTTTCCATAAAAAGATGAAAGCAGCAGCAGTTCTGGCTGGATCCTTGGTGAGATCTCTCATCTGTCAGCCTTCCCTCGCCCACACCAGGCTGCCCGAGGTCACCCCAGCAGCGACAGCAGCACCGGGAAGTTTGGAGGACACCTGCCTGCACCTACAGCCCTGACTCAAATGCATTACATCTGTGGGAGATGCAGCTGCTAGGAAAAGACTTCTGGAGATCCCTAGAGCATTGAGAAATAGCCAGGATGAGCCAAGATGTGTTTAAATGCTCCTTTGGACATGATCAGGATGTTTCACTATGCTCTCTTCTCCCTTTTTACCTTCAGAGGCTGGACTTGACCTCCAGCAAACTTGACTGAAGAGTTGAGACCTTTTTCTTTTTCCCCAGACTCTTGGTTTAGTGGCTGATTTACATCTCTATATCAAAAATCAGATTAATTAATTGTAATATATGAGCAGTGCGATGCTAGTGAGGAAAGCAATGTTTTGAGCACTGCAGCTGGCTCCACAGTCCACACCGTTGGTGCTGTCGCTATTGACAACAGAGCCCAGTCAGTATCCTGGAGAGGTGACAGTGAATTAGGCTGGAGCAGGCTGGTTGGCAGAGGATGGTGTACATGTAGATTAGAGTACTGATCAAGTGCTACAGGTTTATTCTGTGCAAGCAGGCAGGCTGGTTCTCTTAGACTATTTCTATTCAGGCTTGCACTTTTTTAATACCTCCAAAAACAAGCAACTTAGTGACACCTGTGCTAGTACCTGGCCTGGTCCTCGTGTGCAACATTGGTGCAAGAATCAAAGCTGAAAGGCCTTGATCAGTCCTTTCACAGAAAAGCAATACAGGGAGACCACTCACATAAGCTTATTCTGTTTGCCAATAATGTGGCAGCTGGAAGCAAGGCAGTATCATGCCAGCAGACTATTTTCTGCGTATCACACCCTGAGAGAGGATGGAGAGGAGACTTTGCTTTTGGAAAAGGGATCCATTCCACTTACCAGTTCCAGTTTCCCATCCTTGAGCCGAATATGGGGATCCAGTGCTACTTTTGGTTTGGTGCCAGAAGCTGCTTTATGATTAGATGCCAAAGCAGGTGCTGAAAAGACAAAAATAAATGTTAATGGAAGAGCACTTGGGTAGAGGAAAGAGGGGCATGCAAAGCAAAATTCAGAACTCTTGCTGCATGAAATATAATGTGTGCAGAACAAAAACCAAAGACCAGGATTTACTAAATCTGGTCCTGGAAGGCTGAATGAGACCACTATTGAAAAGATTGGGTACTGGGGAAAACCCTTACTGAAACTGGGCTTCTGCATGGTTTAAAATGGGATGTTTCATCCAGGGACCTAGGACTGCAAAAATAGCACTATGGAAATTTCCAGTCACATTTTTGGTGGGGTCTTGGGGTCTGTAGTTATGGTGATCTGCGGAAAAAATAAAAAATAAAAACTGCCTGGCTCTTATCTTCTCTAATTGATTATGCAAAACTGAAACCAAACACTTTATAAAATATAGCCTTGGCTTTCACAGTGCCCATGGAAAAAAGAATCAATGAATTGAAGTGGTGTGCAAAATCACCGGTGCAAGACTTTTCCCTCCCCAAGACTGCAAAAAGCCTTGAAATCTTTCCCCCTAGTTCGGCAGGCAAGTTTTTTGGGTAAAAGGAGCCACATGCATTGTGAGGCAGACACAGAGGAAGGAAGAGGCAGAAACAGCAGCTGCTTTGCTGGTGAAAAGCTGCCATGAGATGAGCAGAACCAGCTGTTGTCAACTGGCTCTTTGGTACCAGTGCTGTCTTCAGAGCTGAACCAGTACAGAGTTCAAGCCCTGCTGCTGAGCCCCGTCACTTGTGCTCCTCCATCCCTCAAGGGAATCCCACTTTTTCCATTTCAACTAACCCTTGTCTGTGACAGTGACATTCCCTGGGGAAAGGGCTGCAGAAGGCATTACCTGCTCAGGAGCTTTCCTGCCAGACTCCAGGAAGATGCAGGACTCTTGTGCCCGCAGCCCTGCTGCTGCCTGGCTCTGCTCACCCTTAAGCCATCAGCCCAGGTTGGTGACAAAATGCCTTCTCGTGCCAGTGGCACAGGATTTGCCCAGGGATAAATTGCTTTTTAGCTGCCTGGAATCTGATTAACATCATAGGAAGCTCCATATGGACCGCTTCTCCTGAACCTCTCCAGCACTTCTCACAGCATCCTCCTCAACTTTCGAGGCAGAGACCAGGTGCAAGAAGAAGGCAGTGAGAAGCAGCAGAGGTGCTGCACAGGTGTAATCCTCCTAATCCAGGTATTTCATCTGCTCAGCTAATGCCAGCAGCTGGGAAGCAGCAAGAGGTAATAAATGGGTTTGCTGGATCGGCCACCAACTCTTTACTCTCTAAGTTCAAGGGCAGAGCTGTTACCCTTCGATGCATGGCTAATCAGGATTAGCTCCACGTGGCTTTGCTGTTAGTTCTGGACATGGAGATATCCAGGGCATCCATCAGGCACCCACAGAGATGCAGTGGCTGGCCCAGGCTCCAAGCCTGGCCTCTGCTCTTTCAAAGCCAGTTATCTGTTTTCATGGATGACAACACTGACAACACATGCCTCCTCAGCATTTCACATTAAAAACCCATGTGTAATAAAATCCCCTGGCTAAGTCAGGAAGTGATGAGGTCATTGCTATTTGCTGGATTGCCTACATGACCCAGGGCTTTGCTCCCCATCACCGGGAGCACTGCCTGTTGGTGGTGGCCTTCTAAAAGCCTACCTGAAATCAAGACTGCAGGATGTTCGGGGCATAGAGGACAGACCAAGTGCAGTCCCAGGGTCTCTACAGTGCAGAGCATGGAAAGCAATGGCTGAAGCTGCTGGCCTTGCCCAAGGTGAAACAGGCATCCCTGGGAGCAGAGGCTGACACACAGCTAACCCAGTACCATCTGCTCCCTGTCTCTCTCACTAAACCCAGGTATAAACTAAACACAGTTTACCTTGCAGTGCTCACTGTTAGCCTTCCAGACAGACACCTTTGTGCTGTGTTGTTTTTTCCAAGTGGGGCCAATGCCTCAGCAGCACACAGGAAAGGAAAAGCCATTGGATTTGCGGCTGCAAGAATGATGGGCTGCACTTGCTAGGGACTTGCTCAGGAAAGTCCAGCTTTTCTTTGGGGCAGGAGTAACTTCCATATCATAGAGATATGAGGTATCTTGCTGGAAATAATCTCCCTAGAGATGGGATCATGGACGTTATTAAGATTTCCTGAAATTCCTGAGGGACCTGTGAAGCTGAAGGGTGATTTGAGTTCACCTACCATTGCTGCTATTCTCTAGGATGAACAGTTGTTCTCTCTCCCTAAAGTTAAGAGCTCAGTATGGGACTCAGGGCATAGAGAGAAAACACATGCATGGAAAAGCAAGCAAGAAGTGAAGCTTGGATGTAGAGCGAAATGTGACTTAATCACATCTATAAGCAGTTTCCCAATTTGACCAACTGAGGGCATCCTTAATGCCTGTATAATGCCCAGGGTTGCAGTGTACATTACAACTGTCATTAATTGACTTTTTTTGTACTGTGTCTCCAAGGACCACCTGTTGCCATCAGAAGGGAATGTTGCCTGCAATGGGACCTGCTGGATATAAGTCTGACATGGTCTTTGCATGTGGGCAAAGACACTGCTGCAAACGAAACACAGGCTGAGAATGGAAGAAGATGTTGCCTATGAATACCTCAGTCCTCTAAATGCCTTAGTAAAGAATTTTGCTACTATGGACAAACATGGACATAATTTACTCCCCATTGAACAAGTCAAGCTGCTACCTTCCCTCTGTCCTTGTGGGCTGAGTCTCATCATCACCCCATTAGATTCCACTACAGCAGGAAAAGCATTGGTCAAAATTAATTTCATCATTCTCAGCTCTGAGGAGCCAACGTTGTGTTTGTCACCCACCCACACAAAAAAAACTATAGCAGGACTCTTACCTGAGACAGTAAGCTCTGGTGGGCAAATGTCCGGTGACAAAGAAGGCACAGGAAAATTATTTTCACGCCTATTCTAGAAAAAGAAGACAAAACAGCACAGACAGTCGCTAAGCAGAATCTGTTGGTGTAAAGAGCAGAAGACAGAGGAGTTCAAGAGAGAGCAACCCATCTGGTCCATAAAGAGCAAAGGCACCATGTACATCTACTGTGCAGATGGGCCAAAAGAGACTCTGAGGGTTTCTGTGGCAGCACTTGGCACAGGCACGTTCCTAAGCCATCTCAAAATCTCTGGTCAAACACAGAAAAATTAGTTTGTCGTTACTGTAATTGAGAGCTGAGGATGAATTTGACCTTGTGTGCTTTCTTCATAGAGGTTCTCCCTAAAGCTCTGCATTCAACCCACCAGTGAGGTCCTGAGTCTGACTGCAGCCAGTTGTGTTTTTTTCCCAAAACATCACAGTGAGCGTGACAGGAAGCTGAGACCATTGCCCACCCTTTCTTAAGTGTCAGGTCATGACCGAAAGCACGAGGGAAAAATACAGTCACATTGTTGATATGCTGAACACCACCAAGATAGTGCTTCCACAGCAGGCATGCAGAGAGGGGTACAGGACTGCTACTGAGGCCATATGGACAGGTAGCACAGGCACCTGAGCACACTTTTCCTAGCATGAAAGCCCAGACCTCAAGTTTCATCTTTTAGCAGCAAACTGAAGAAAAGAGCAGTTTAACTCCAGACAGCTATGTAATTTCATACAGGTGCACAACACTGCACAAGCACACTTTCTGCTGCATGACAAAGGATCAAGCTATACTATGCAGCTATATGTCTGGCTTCATAAGCTTGTCTACAGCCTGGTACACCCAAAGGCAACATATATAGGGCAGTCTTGCAAGTCTGTGTCTCTACAGGAACTGGAAAGAAAAATCTTTTGTGAATGATGCCTGTATGAAAGAAACCTCCAGCCAGCCTTTTCTAAAGGAAGTTTATGTGGAAGAGGGCAGAAGATACTCCAGGCATTGCAACAGTCCAGGAGAGGAGTGACAAATGCACAGAATCCATCCACAGACCTAAATTGTCATGAGGGTTGTGTGGTTAAACACTGTCTCACCACCCACAGCTCAAGCGCTTGTTTCTGCAAAGACAACATGGAGCTAGGCTTCATAGGAAGAATGAGCCTGGCTTATCACTAGGCCAGTGAAGAACAGAAACGGGCTGCTTGGGAATGCTGTGGGTTCATCTTCATCAGAGGTCTTTAAGAACAAAGAGTTGTTCCTGCCTTTGGGTAGGAGACTACATCAAACTGACTCCTGAGATCCCTTCCAGCCCTGTGACTGGTACTGAATGAGATGCAGGTTGCTATCCACAGAAGGGATTTTCTTACACCTGAGACTTCTGAAATAGATCTGAATGCAGGCCCTGGAGATGAAACTCATTACCTCCACAGATCCTTCACTGTCTCAAATCCAAGACAGAAGAAACAATACTCCAGATTTAAAATACCTGGCTGTAAAACAGGGCTACATAAATCAGCATTACAGACTTTCCACTGCCAGAAGGGCTGTCATGGAGCCCCTAAAGAAGAGTTTTCTGATCAAAGAAAGATCACAGGACTGATGTCTGTGATTGTAGATATGAACTTCAACTTACCTCTGGGGACCTCACATGGACCTTCAGTCTGCAGGAACTGAGGCCGTTTCCCACAGCCTTTGGAGGTGGTGACGAGATGTTGTTATGAACCGACAGTCCAGGATGTAACCGTCCCCTTCCAGGAATAAAGGCCACTTCTGTGTTTCCCTCGTGTCTTAAACAAACAACAAATACAGAACACTTAATTAGCAAAAAAAGCACAAGTTAAATTTGCAGAAATTTCATGCCTGTAGTTCTTTCTCTGGGACAAACTCATGTAATTATAATTACCTCAATTTGGCTTTTGCAATTATTTTTCTGGCCTCTTCATGTGTGCTGCCCACCAAAGAATCTTTATTGATAGCAATTAGTTGGTCACCAGGTCGTAGCCTACCATCCTAAACAAAGAGGGAGAAAGTCACAGCATCGGGAAGAAATGTCTCTCTGCCCAAAGCCTTCTCCTGCAGCACAAATCATCATTAGTCCGTGCAATGCATTATTCATCTGTTCTTAGAAAAGCTGCTTCAGAACAGGTGCAGAGGGTAGAGAGGTCCCCATTGCAGAGGGTCTCCATGCTGACTTACCTTGTAACAGTCACCATCTGGCATAAGCTCTTGAATATATATCATGGGGCCATCAGGCCTGTTAGATCCACCACTGATTGTCAGCCCTAAGCCGGAGGATTTTGCTATAGAAATGCTCTGGATTCCTGATTCAATGGAGTAGCTGCAAGGGAGAGATGTTAGCAGGTGACTCAAGGTGATCTGGTTTGTTTTCCCATGTTGCTGAACAAAATCTGCTTGGTTTTCTTTCCATGCATGATCCTTCTAACTTCTCCCAACCTTTTCTGCCTCTGCATCTTTTCTTCCACCCCAACCTTGGAAAGAGGAAGTGAAGACTCCCATTTCAGAGCAGACATCATTCAGCATTATGAAGATGACTGGCTTGCATAATCCCAAATGCTGGGGAATACTCATTTGAGAAAATAAAGAGAGAAGAAACTAAAGGTTTAACTAGAATATATTTGGCACTCTTGGTTTTTATAGCCAAAAGCACAACAAAGGATCAATTTGGTTATTGTTTGGATCCAGCGAAATCACCAGACAGCAATTTACAGATTGGCTAACTATTAAACAGCTCTTAGCAAACATCAAAGTGAAGCTGAGGATGCACAGCTGACTGTGTCTTAACCAAGGCTTGGATTCCAAATCTTGCAAGATCCCCTAAGAAATGAGCCATTAAACACCTTCATAGCAATACCCACCACACTGTGACTTACTTCTGTGGCAGTGGTACAGGTGACTCACCCAGTCAAGGGCGTACTACAAATGAAGCGGTAACAAGGCTGGACCCTACCTTCAAAGAGCTGCCTGCTAGGCACAACCCAAGGGGCCACCAAGACCAGGCCACAGCAGGCAGCTCTGTGCCAGGAGGGAGGTTTAGCAATCACAGTATTTGTGGAACAGAGATTTCAATGAACACCCATAGACTGGTGGGCAGCATTGCAACAAGGAGGTTTTGGGGAAGGGTTGTGTGGGATCTAAGGGTCAGCAAGCCTTTTCCTCCTCATGGGCTGGGTGCAGCTGGCTTTTCTCCTTTTCAGTTTATTTCCATATGAACCACTCACCAAATGGTCTGCAATTTCTGGTCCTCATTGTGTTACCTGATAACTTAAGACTCAACAACAGCTGTGCAACCCATGCCTCACAGTGACACCAGCATGTCACCGCCCTGTACTCCCCAGCAATGCCATCCTCAGTGGTCAGACACCCCAGTGAGAGAGCAGTGTATTGCCAGCATCCCCCCAGACCGGCAGTGGACCCCCAGGAGTGCCAGCAGGCTTTGCAAGGGAAAGGGATTGCATTCATCCAGTGTGCATCTTAGTTGTAGGAAAAACACATTGTTCTAAGAAATATTTTAGGAAAACAATGTCATGAAATGTAGCATTAAAGCCCTCTGCTCAAATCAAAGTATCAGATGCTATCTGTGGCAAGAATGAATCATATCTGAGTCCTGTTGCTCAATGGGGTGGCAGGACCTCAGATGACACCATGATGAGAGGCCACAGCCTGGGAACAACCTGTGATGAGCAGAGGGCATAGTAACCACGTGCATGAAAAGACCCACAGCCAAAATTACATCTGTGCAGGAGACCATTTCAGTCAATGGTCCGTGATGTGAAACTGCTCATGCTATTCCCAGGAGAAAACCACTGGGGTCTGGCACCAGCATGGAGACAAGCAGAACATGGCACAACATGGCAGCACTGAGCGAGGAGTCCACCAAATCAGGTCCCCTCTAGCCTGTATCACAGCCTGGAGCAAGTTAACAGCAGAGCAAGAATGCCTGGTTTGTTCAAACCAAGTAGATGAGCTGGCCTCTCCTCTGTAAGGGTCTCTCACTCCATGCAAGCAGCATAAACCTCTGGTGCCAAATATTTGTCCTCTGCAAATCCCTAATAAAGAGCCATATTTAGCAAGAGGATTTACTGGTTCTGCAGTGAAGGTTGATTCTCTTTACCAGTGACTTGGCTTGTTTATGCTGGCAAAAGAAGGGAAGCCCCAAGCTCTGGGGACAAATGGTCACAATTCCACAACTGTTAACACCCCTTGAGCTGTCCCTCTTGAGAAGGGCAACCCCGAGAACGCTGGAGATGAGACTCTGCTGAAAAACAAGCTCTGCCTGTCCAAACTTCTGACCCTGCGAAATATGAAAGGGACAGATGACCACATGAAAACACATGCTCCAGGAGATGCTGTGGAGACAAAAGGATGTCTGCAGGCCAACTGCATGACACCAAAACAAAGGGCGTCAGGAGTGTTTGCATCAAAAGCACTGTGCTTGTGCTCGTTGCATGATGTCAACATGCTAGAAGCAGGGCAATAGAGAACCAGCTCCTGAAACACCTTCTGAAGGCACCACTGGCCTTGCAGAAACATGACATGGTTTATAAAGGTGACATGCAGGGTCCTCTCAGCTGGCTGTAAGCTACAGCTTCTCCCCAGGTTTCAGAGGAGAAGAAGAGGAGCAGTTGCATGGTTAACCATAATGCAGGCATATTGACTGCCTCAACAGGGAAGCTTTTCAGCTTTTTGGTACAGGCTTCCCAGGAACAGTCAAGATGCCACCACAGCAAGGACTTCTAGAAGATGCTGTGGTCTCCTGGCCATTGTGGTGATACAACTATATAGAGGACATAAGGATGAACAAAGCGGTTCTTCAAGCACTGGAATTATTTACTAGATCTACCACTAAGACATTCGGTGCTGTCTGCATGACTGACCAAGGGACAGGCTTTGTGGGGCTGGCCCCAAGCGATCTGTACGTACTGTGTGTGAGAGGGGTGTGCCGCGTTCCCAATTAAGGGGCTGTGGGAGTTGGCAGGGCTCAGCAGCAGCGGGCTCTGAGAGCGCGAAGAGGAGCCTGAAGATGTACTTTCCAGGTATCGACCTGAACAGTAAAGCCAGAGTTAGTCCAGGGAATGCAAATACACCAGCATCGCCCTCCTCCCCTGCTCTGCCACTGAGAGCTGCCACTGTTTTCCTAGCTTTTTGGGGAGAACCACATGGAAGTTAAAGACATCACTGTATCACTCATGGAAGGAAAACATTCAGTCTCTTCAACATATTTCCAGCATGGGACTGTCACCCGTCTGCCAGCCCTACATACCTCTGCCACAGGGGGAGGGTTGGCAGCCTTCTGGTGGGATCCCAAGCCAGAGAGACACCTTCTTTCCTCATGCACATGTGTTTTGGTGCACTGGCACCTCATTTAGGTTAACCTTGTTGCATCTCATTAAACATTTCCCATTTGCAAATGAAAAATAATGATCACTGAAGAAGTGATTGCTGAAATGCTTTGAATTCCATAGTAGAAAGCTGCACCTACAGAGACGAGGGTTACCTGCCCAGCATGTCAGTTAAGCCATGTCTGGGTGTCTGGGAAGTAGTTATGACCCCAACTCAATTCTTCCTAGTTAATTCTCCCGAGTTCACCCAGAGAGGCTGGCTTGCTGCCTCACTTGGTGCTCATCTTGTGCAGGCAGGACTGGCCATGCCTGCTGCTCTGCACCTGGGAACGCATCAAGTGCTTGCACTAAGGACAAGCAAAACTTCTTTTCCTTCAAACCTCCACCCAAACACCTACACAAATCTAATCAAAACTCCTTCAAAATAACACTGGGATAAAGAAAACTTTCTCAGCAGAGAAGAGAGGCTTTTGGGTTCCTCCCCAAAGGCATGCTGAGCTACTCACTGCCGCCGTGCAGGATTGGTGAGCTTCGCGCTGAGCCCGTATTGCTCTGGGAGCCGAACTTTTCCAGTAGCTCGGAGAACTCTCTCCTGGAAAGAGAAACACAATATAGTCAGCTGCTACTCAAAACTACTCCCCACCTGATTATTTGACCTCTGATGGCAGTGACTTACTACCAAATCTGTACAGCCGATGCCCTCCAGGAACAGGGAGCAGACAGAGCTTTCTCATGCATAAGGGTATAACCCCCATGGTTTCAAGAGGCTGTGCAAGACTTAAGATCAATAATCAATCTCATGGCAGTGCAGCTTTCCTATGATGGGCTGGAGCTTCGGTGTGCTTCTTCCCTGCCCTGGAAAGTGTTTCAGGGTGAATATGGGCAAGAGAAGCTGGGAACAGACATGTAGACAGGCACTGGTGACAGTGACTGTCCTTCCTGAGAGAGGGCAGGTGAACGCAGGACCCTTGCCTTGCCCCCTTGCCTTGCACCCCACTGCCTGGACCCTCCCAGGAATTGGCTGGAAGAATTTCACTCCCAGCCTTATGGCTCAGAAGTTTTGCTAATGCACCACACAAATTAAACAGACTGTCAGAAGAAGCTGTAACTATGCAAACATGTAACAAAAAAGCTTGGCCTATCTGTGACTATTTCTAGAATAAATATAGATTATTCTCTCTTCTTTTTCCTTCGCCTTTCCTAGCCAGAAAGCAGTTCCTGCTAGCTCTTGGTGAGGTAGAGATGGGAGATGGCTTCTGGAGCACATGCAAAAGAAGCATCCCACTCTCTGAATCTATCCACGGTGGTATCCTCCATGAACATCACAGGATAAACTCTTGGCACATAGGACTTTAACAAAGACCTGCACACATAAAGTGTGCTGGGGCAGCACAGGCTTCTGTACTTGTCCCATCAGCTCGTGGCTGAAGATGCTGAACCAGTAGGCACATGCTAAATTTACAGATACCAAGATCAGAAATGCTTGTCAGTGGATCCAAGAGCAGGGAGAAATGGCAGCTCACAAACTTTTAGCATGATCATGCAAGCACTATATCAGCTGAGTATAACTGTGTGCTTCATATTAATAATGTTGTTAATACTGGCTTTCATTTTATTAAATCTGTTCCTATTTCAAGCCACAGGTCTCCTTTCCTTTTCCCAATTCCCCTCCCTGGGTGGCGAGGAGTCATCGGGTGATAGAACAACTGCCTAAATTATGCAAATTCTTACAGGTGTCATTAAATAAGCAGCCAGGCAATGGGGAGAGACCCTGAAACGATTGTTTCTGTGGCCACAGTAACATTAAATAGCTGCTTTGAAGGTATGAGGGAATCCCCATGGGAAGGTACCTTCCTGATGCTATAGCCACAGGAAAAGCCTGGTTATGAGTGGCTAGCTCTCACACTTGACAGTCAGACAAGCTCAAGGCATAAACCTGCAGGAAACCAGCCACAGCAAAGTTTGCTCAGAGAGGAGGTTGCTCTTACACACAACCAGACGCTGTGTCATCTACATACTTTACCGGGACAGATGTTCTATATTATTGGCTAGATTAGAGTCAACAATATTAAATGATGAATGAATCATCAGCTCCTTAGTTTCCTGCTGGAAATGCTCTCAGAAATTTACATCTTCCCATTTACAGCCAGCTCATTAAAAAACTTCAAAGATCAGTGCCTGCCTTATCTAATATTGCCATCAAATGTATACCTTATTCATACAATTTCATGCTAATTTTAACTCTAAGTGTCACACAATACTTAGTGGAATGTCTTGGTGAATCCCAATAATTTACGACATTATTCTCTTTATCAGGTAAGCCATGACTTTAAAAAAAGACAACTACTTTGTTCAGAAACTCCACCTTCCATAAACTGTTTTAAGAGGTAGCTTCGTAGCGTTAGACGCTGAAATATATGTAAAAGCACTGAGAAAGTGGTAGGACAACTTAGATCCTATAGCAGTAGGACAGCGTTTTGCTGTTCTGTGGTTCCCTGAGTTAAGTCTTGAATGGATTTTACCTTAGCAGAATTTTTCCAATTTTTCACTAAACATCTGTATTTTTGTAGGTGTTTCCCACTCCCATTTCACTGGTAACTCATGCACTGGTGGCCTTATCCCTCCTTGACCTGTTGCAACGGCAGGTCCAACATGCTGGAAGCTAATATATTATTTCTAGTGGTTACCAAGCCATCAGCAGCTGGGTTTTTGTTTTGGGCTGGGTGTTTCTGTGGTCATCTATTGTTATATTTTCCTCAGATGATCATTCATCAGAGCACAGAAGGGTTATGAACTTAAAACAATGGCTAAAAACTCTTAGTCAATGCAAATACAACTAGTTTTGCAGCTCTTATGTTCTTTAAACCCTGTCAAACAATGCAAACCCAATCACCGATCCATGCTGTCAAACTCTGTTATAAGCAAGGGCAGATGTGACTTGGGCATTCTTTGTTGTTGTTTATTTCATGTTGTTAAGTTCATCCGGAAAGCAGCATTTATCATTATTTTCTCAGAAACCTGAACAATGAACTCTGAGCCCAGGGTTGCTGTGCAAGTCTGGGTCCAGCCCAGCTCTTTGCTGCAGGGACGATGTGACTAAGTGCTATGTCACGGGCGACTGTTCTGGCTCCTGCTTTGTTGGTCAATGCTGCTAACTTGAAGCACACGGTGATCCCAGCAGTAAGCCATAAACTTTCTGGTGCTCATCTTCCAAGAATTAATTTTGTGTTCAGTGCTGTATTTGAAGGAATTTGCAGGCGGACAGACAATGCCCAGACATTACCAATTAATGAACA